TTCAGACATTCAAGATAAGATTGTTCCAACTTGCCAAATGCAAGGACGAAAGATATAGAAATCAGCAGAAGGAGGCAGATTTTTAAATTCAAATTATTTAGATTCACTCTGCAGCACAACAGAAGTGGAGTTTTGAGAGATTTAGGGAGGACAATGTACAGGCTTAAAGCAAAAGCTCAGGCCGGTCATGTTATTGTGGGAGAAGCTGATATATGAGTGGACAGAATTGGGAAGGGTGGTGAAATATAGGGCAAGGAAGCAACGCGAAACTCAGGGAGGGGCAGAATTATATAGGACTTTCAAGGTGGAGAAAAGAAGTTTAAATCTGACACAATAACATATGGGAAGGCAGGGGAGACATTCAAAGAGAAGTGTGACATGGTCACATGGGAAGGCAAAGAAAATGATTTTAGTGGTTACATCTTGTACGATATGGGGCAGTATATATTTTAGGGATTTCAGAAAAATGGGTGTTCTAAGAGTCAAAGTGGAATATATTGACAATCCAAATACGAGATTTGACTGGGCAAGGGAAAGAAAAGGATAGCTCTCAGACATATTAAGGAAGAAGTAGCACTTCAATTACTTCATATATGGAAAGTAGTAAAACAAATCTTACACATTCAAGGAACACAGCCAAAGAGCCCCCAAATTTATTTTTTTAAGCTAATAATTTTAAAAGATTCAGTACAGTCTTTACAAAAGATTAAACAATACTTTAACTGAAATATTTTCAGTCTAAATACTGCAACCCTGTATTAATGTCAGAGCATCAAAGTGAAATAGATTAAAACTGACAGCAAAGTCAAGTGTCTGATAAATTTAAATGACCAAACTGAGTAAAAAGCAAAAGGTAAACAAAGAAATAAATAGCCAACATCAAATGATGTATTTCACTTGTGCAATTTTAATCATTTAAATCGTTGTTTGCATTAGAACAGTATCTAGAGACTGAGATCAGAGGCCTACTGTGTTGGGCATTGTACATACATTCAATCAGGCCTTGTCTACAGAAAAACAAATTGAACTGCTTTAACTATAGTCTACATTGGCAAAGTTAACATGGCACAATATCCCTAGTGTGAATGCAGTTATATTGATAAAAGTGTGCTATAGCGATAATTTAGTCCCATGTCGGAATGGAAATGTATAAACACATTTATACTGGTATAATTACATCCACACAGCAGGGGGAGGACATAGATTAAGAAAACACCCATAAATTGACAGTTATACCCATATAAAAACTGTGTGTAGACCAAACCCTAAGAGACAGTCCTTCCCTGAAGAATTTAAAAAGGCTAAACATAGCCTTTATAAATATAGCTCTTTTATTCCAGAAAAAAGTATCCACATACGCTGTGTCTACATTGGCGCGATTATGCGCCAAAGTGGCCGCTTTTACGCAAAAACATGCTGCCTGTCTACATTGGCGGGGAGTTCTTGTGCAAGAACACTGACATTCTAATGTGTAAAATCAATGCTTCTTGCACAAGAACTATGATGCTCCTGCTAAGGAATAAGCCCTCTTGCGCAACTCTTCTTGCGCAAGAGGCCAGTGTAGACAGGTAACATGAATTTCTTGAGCAAGAAAGCCCGATGGCTAAAATGGCCATAAGAGTTTTCTTGCGCAAGAGAGCGTCTACGCTGGCACGGATACTTTTGTGCAAAAGCACATCTCTTGCACAAAGGCACGTCAGTGTAGACGCTCTCTTGCGCAAATTCTTTAATGCAATGACTCTTGCGTTAAAGAGTATTTGCACAAGATCATGCCAATGTAGACACAGCCATGGAGTTAATCAGCAATAACTATTGGAATTAGAATTCACACCCTACTTTAATGAAAATTGACTTTCAAGTGTAGACAAGTGCTAAACCCTGCAAAAATGTATGGATGTTCTTAATCTATTTTACTGTGAGTAATGAATTCAAGGGCATTATGCACAATGTGTAAAATTAAGCATTTTAAGACTTTACAGGATGAGGGTCTAAACAGATAAAACTGGAGAAAAGGTGGGGGAGGCAATGTCTCTATTATTTTGGCACCGGCTGCACTACAACAACACTGCAAATTGAAGAAAACAGTGGCCGAGCTCTTATTTTCAGTAGGAAAAAAGGTTACCATTTCTTAGCTAATGTGGTGAAATCCGGGAGTAAGTCTACACTGCAACAGAAAGTGTGATTGTAATTTGTGGAGATGTACATAGACTGGCTCTAATTGAGCTAGCTTGATTAAGGACAGCAGTGAGTCCAAAGCTGCATGGGCTTCAGCGTGGGTGTTTGGTCCTGCCGTCAGGGCAGGGGACTGGACTTGATGACCTCTTGAGGTCCCTTCCAGTTCTAGTGTTCTATGAGCAGTGGACCCTACCCTATGCCCATAGAGCTCAGACTTCACTGGTGTATTATCATTTGAGCCAGCTAAATTTAAGCTGACTTGGGCATGTCTACCCCACATCCTGAGAGGGATGGGGACTTGCTGATCGCCTGCAAAACCCAGCATCCACTTCCACTTCTGTGGCAGATGAGCCTGGGGTCTCCGCACCAGGTAATGTTGCCAGGGGTCTGGTTTTGAACCAGACAGGCCAGTATTTGAGCTTTCTGTTCAGGAAACAAATTGAGAAAACAGAAATGTCCGGTATTTTCTACATCAGATGTAATGTAGATTGGGATGTCATGTCCAGTGTGTCCTGTATTTTGGCAGAAACCATCTGGCAACCCTAGCAGGGTGGGTGCACGTGGCTGGGACACCCCAGGTCACAGAGCAGGCTGAGCCGGGGCTACGGGCCGCACAGGAAGGGTCATTCCCCCCGGCTCTCAGACAGGGCCCAGGGATGGCAGGTAACCAGGCCGGGCCCTGGGCTCCGCGGAACAACATGTCCAGTGTGTCCTGTATTTTGGCAGAAACCATCTGGCAACCCTAGCAGGGTGGGTGCACGTGGCTGGGACACCCCAGGTCACAGAGCAGGCTGAGCCGGGGCTACGGGCCGCACAGGAAGGGTCATTCCCCCCGGCTCTCAGACAGGGCCCAGGGATGGCAGGTAACCAGGCCGGGCCCTGGGCTCCGCGGAACAACAGGCCGGGGGAGGGCAGGCGGGGGAAAGGCCTGGAGCCGCGCGTAAAGCGGCCGTTCGGGCCTGGGCCAGCCGGGGACTGGAGC